CTCTTCTAGTGGTAAATGAAGAGTCATTTCTTCCTTCTGATAGCAAACGAAAGAGCCAGTGCTGTACAGTGGTTAGAAAGTCACAACACTGGGACCTGGGAGATCAGGGTTCAAATTCCCCTTTGGCCATGAAGCTCCCTGGGTGACCTTGGGCCAGTCACTGCCTCTCAGCCTAACCTACCTCACAGGGTTGTTGTGGGGGTTGAAAGATATATGCCACATTGAGCTCCTTAGAGGAAAATGTGGAATATAAACACAGTGAACGAATGAACAAATGAATGAACAAACTCAGATGACAAACTCAGGTGACAAAATTGTAGGCCAAGCAGAGCCACTAAGAAACGAAGGAAAGATTAACATACTCTGGGGAACCTTGAGGTCTGTAGCAGTTAAATAAATGAACAACACTTAAAGAGGTCAAAACGCCCCCCGCCCCCAAGAAGACCAAAGGAGAACTGAGCATGTTCAGTAGTCCAGAAAGTTTAGTGGCACTTGGAAAAGAAAAAAGAACTTGAGGGAGGGAAGAGTGGAATGTCCCACATGAAGAGAATGGCTGGCTGGATCCCTGGATAGGAAGCAGGGGGTACACTGCAACAATTAGTTGCAGCTCTCACTGGTCTTTAATAATGGAAAATCAATGCTTATGTCAATCAAGATTCAGAGCTGGTGGCATAAGAATGTGAGCTGGGAAGTCTCTCCCTGGTTCAAATCTTACCTCAGCCGTGCTGTAGCTCTAGGGCTGTTATCTTGTCTTCTGTCTTCTTGTCTACGGTACAGGGATAATAACGTAGGTAAAGATGGCCACAGCGATATGTGTGGAATGATTTGGACACTTGAAGTGCTGTTTGAACTATTATTGCCTTTCAGACAGGCAAGAGGACCCAATTTGTTAGACAGTGTTCCTATAGGATATTGGTACAAGAAAACCAGCAGTTTAAACTACATTCATCCCCTGAGAATTCTGCACTTTGCTCAGGGCTTAATTTATGTGTCTACCAGAATGTTAACTGGAACTGGTAGTTCAGAAACATCTGACTCCAATATTATACCATCTGAACTAGGCACCGATTTGCTTCTGGGCTCAGTTCAAAGTGCTGATTTTGGCCTTTTAAAATCCAAAATTAGGGATGGTGCGGCGGGGGGGGGGGGCACCTGTAGACCACAAAACCCACAATCTCTTATGACTGGGCAGGGTGGCTGGGGCTGATGGATGTTGGAATCAAATGACATCCGAAGGGCAACATGCTCTCACTCTTGGTCCTAAATTACCTGGGACCAGAGGGGTGAATTCAATGTACAGTGGTACCTCGGGTTAAGTACTTAATTCGTTCTGGAGGTCCGTTCTTAACCTGAAACTGTTCTTTACCTGAAGCACCACTTTAGCTAATGGGGCCCTCCACTGCTGCTGCGCCGCTGGAACACAATTTCTGTTCTCATCCTGAAGCAAAGTTCTTAACCTGAAGCACCATTCTGGGTTAGCGGAGTCTGTAACCTGAAGCGTATGTAACCCAAGGTACCACTGTACCTGTTTGGCTAGCGTAAGCTTGTATAAGGACTCCTGCTAGCACAATAGGGCTTTCCCCTCTCCCTGCCATCATGCCTGCTTCAAATCCACCTAGAAGGGTCAGGAGACAGCCTCCCCCAAAAAACAAAGCATGGGGGGGGGGAGCATTCGGCTGGCAGCTAAGAACCTACCTCTCTTTAGCATTGCCTTTTGATTTTTTACTGCTGCCATTTTTACTCTGTTTTGCATTACACTGTAATTTTACTGCTGTTTGTCAATGTCTGAACCTTTATTGCAATGAAAGTCGGTCACTTTCATGATAGCAAGCCATATTTATTTACTTTAAACTGTGGCAAATAAATACATTTTAGGCCTCGTTCAACCATGGAGCCTGTCAGTTAATACTGAAGAAGATACCTCTGTGTTTAGTGTTGTTCCCTTCCATCACTGTGTTACAGATAATCCTTACACATTTGAGACTTGGTCACTCGGCGCAGCTTCCTTAGATACCACACAGGCCTTGGCAACTTCCTCTCTTACCGAGCCGAGCCTTTGTTTCTTATGTGAATATCACTAGCAGAGATGGGAAAGGCTGGCGAATCAGGCAAGGTTGGTCTAGACTAAGACAACCAGCAGTTGATAGAAGTTGCCAGAAATGGATGTTTCAGATTCGAGAACTTGCTTTCCAAACCATAACCATGTTCTCTTGACAAAGCTTCCTGTGCATCTGAGAAGAAGATATTGCTGTTCAGTTCAAAGTGGTGTCTCTAAACATTAAGATTTGTGGCTTAAAAATAAAGGCATAGATCTGATGTACCTCTTCCTGTCCAAATGCATGAAACTTGTTGTGACCTAGGCTTGAAGACCAAGGGAGCTAAAAGAACAGATTCCTCCTAATCAGTCCTTATTCTATCACATCCTTGCAAATATCTCTCTGAGTCCCCTTTTCTTCATCACCTCTGCTTGGTTTCCCCCACTGCAATAGTTTTTCCTGTGTGATCCTGTTCCCTTTTGTGTTCAGGCTTCTGTGCTACCTTCCCACCCACCCCACCCCTGTTTCCTGTGTCTTATGTGCACAATGTACACATAACAGCTCTCTTCCAAGGCCACATACGTAGGAAGCCTGAATGGGGTCAACTGTGCAATTCCAATCTTTAAAATCTGTCTGTCCCCCCAGACGATCCTTCTACGGACACAGCAACTGAGCAACTTTTAAAAAACCAAACTGTGCCGTGTGTTTTGCTTCTTGTTTTACAATAGCACACAACCTTCTGCTCTTACCATGGGAAGAAAACAATGCAAAACGACAAGGGGGGTGGGTTAAAGTAAATAGTGGGGAGGTTAGATCATTTTGTTTCCACTAAACTATTTCTAACTCCTTTCAATTAGCCTTATTGAACTATACATTTTGTCTTGACGGGAGGTTATATATTACAAGTATTAAAATGAATGGCGAGAGTAGGGCTAGGAGTGTCTTGAAATATATTGGGCAGGGCATCTTGTAAGACCTATATTATTCCCTATATTGGGTGCAAGAAGGGGTTTTTTTCTGATGTGACCTACCTTTGCACAATGAACCTCTTTCTATGTAATTAAGCAGCTGTCAATCCTTCTAACACCACTGTGTTTAAGGAACCTACAGGCGTGTGTAGCTGGAAGCTCGAGTCTCTATGGGAAGTTCTGCTAAGAGAGAAGATCTCACCTTCCTTTGTTTCCTCTCCATGCAGTTTTGGGATGCAAGTATAAGAGCAGAGCTTGAACTGCTAGGCAGCCCAGGGCTTGTTGCAAATTGCTGGCTCAATCAACTGGCCAGGCACAGATTCAGTCGATGCATCTTTCTCATCAGTTTCCTGACTATAAATAATTGCGCGAGGAGAAAAAATCACTACCCTTCACCTTTCATTAGTAGCGGCACATGTTTCCCCAGCTGGATCATTTCCATGACAGCTGCTTTATCTTCCTGCAGATCTTTCCCTTTGAATCCATGCTTGATGAAAAGCATTCTTGGGTGGGTAGGTGGGGGAAATACTCCCTGTACCTTTAACTTGCTTGGTTTTAGTGCCACCATCTAAATCTGAACTTCTTTCTTTCTGTAGGCAAATTCACACCCTTTTATATCCCTTTCAATTGCTTTTAAATGTTGTTTTATTTTTAAAGGTATAGTTTTATCACTGCTGTGTTTGATGACCTGGGCTCCTTGGGGAGCAAAGCTGGGATATAAATGCAATAAATTAATGATAATAATAATGTCCCCAAAACTCCTAAGCACAGGTGTCCTGCATTTCTTATCTGCCAGGGTTCTCTGAAACTCTTTTAATGCTTTCCCTCCCAATCGCCTTGTCCTTCTCAACTTTATCTGCTGGAGAAATCCTCATTACATGCTTCCCCTGGTCTGCCCAGATGCTCATCACAGCTTGCCCAAAGAGCAAGAGGAATTTCAGTGTGAAAGAGCTGCATTGGGAGACTCTGGAGAGAAGTTTTTGGCAGATTTTATTACAGCAAGTTAAATAAGAAAAGAAGACGACCACCAGAGCTGTGTAAACCAATGCAATTTATAAAGCCACAGGTGCAGCAACCAAGCATGCTGACTTTAGCAGCAGACAAGCATCAAGAAATGAGAGGTACAAAATACAAAGTGGACTCTGACTGAATACAATTTTTTAAAAAAAGAAAAGGAAGGAAGGAAGGAAGGATAGGGAGCTACAGTAGAAAGCAGAGGAGGCAAGAAACTGTTCCATTCACACATCAGCACTGGGAAGTGTGTTACAGACAACATGCTGCAAAGTGGCTCTAGGGCACCCTCCACACACACACACACACACACACACACACACACACACAAAAGCACAACCTGACTGCCCACCCCGATGGATGATGTCCCTGCCCTCCCCGCTCCAACCTCTGAAGGCAAACGTCTCACAGGAGAGCTGAGCGATTTTACATTCAAAGTTGCGATTTGTCCCCATTCCCCACCCGCTCCACACGAAACAAAAAGCAGCGAAGTTGGGAATGTATCGTCTGTGTGCATTGACACGGCATATTTACAGGACACCGACATCAAATTGGAAGGCTTCACGGCTTCATCAGAATCCCCGCGCCCCTTCTCTCTCTCTCTCTCTTATCAACCCCTCTCCCAGAGCCAAGACGAGGCCCGGGACGCCGAAGTGAAGAAACGGGAGCGCGTGTCACGCCTTTGCCTTTGTAAACAGTCCCAGCGCTTCGCTTCCTGCGGAGTTCAGCACAGTTCGGCTCCCTCTTGCGAAGTTTGCCCGGTCCTCTGGGTGCCCCTGACGGAGGGGGAAAGGGAGAGGGAGCAGGAGGAGGGTGGGGTAGCCGGTCGTTTCCTCCTCGCCCCCCAGCCTACCCCATCTCAACTCAAGATATCATACCATAGCCGAGAGAGGAGTTTCCGACGAAGGCACCAACATGGTCCGCACCGTCGAAGTCTTGGCGTGGCCAGGCGGGCTCCGCGGGGCTTCGGAGGGGGTGGGGGAGGTCAGTAGGGCCCCACCACCACCGCCTCCACCTCTTTGGACGGCCGCCTGTCCTTCACCAGAAAGTTGATCATGCCTTCGGACTTGATGAGTAGGTTGCAGCCCAGGAAGAAGATGCCGAAGACGACGGTGAGCGAGAGGACGCACATGACGGCGATCTGCACCACGCGCATGATGTACAGGCTCCTCTCGTCCGGCGCGGTCACCACGAAGCCGTCGTCGGTCACCACCGACCGGGGCGTGAAGGAGCGCAGCACCCTCTCCAGAGAGTCGCTGCTGTTGGCAAGGAAGAGCCCCACCACGTCCGTCTGGTTCCCCAGCGAGGCGTTCATGACCCCGGCGGGAGGAAGAGGAAGGGGCTGCGGGCCCTGGCGTCGGAAAACGTGCGTGGAAGAGCTACCCCGGCGGCAAGGAACCAGCCCAGAGAGCCTCATGCGGCAGAGGCGGCGGACCAGGTGCCCGGGGAGGACTTGGGTAGGTGGCGGTAGCAGCAGCCGCGAGTTCCGGCGGGGCTGGACGTCCCAGGCAGGAATCCACGTCGGAGCCGCTTCTTCCCTCTGCTTTCCCCGCTCTCCAGCTAGGACTATTGCGCCCGGAGGAGCCGAACTGGTCGGGCTGGCTGCAAATCGCCTCGGGGAGGTGGCGTGGGCAGAGAGAGGCGTCAGCGGCTGCTCCTCCCGGGGAAAGGGCGCCCCAGATCGGCTCGCCAAGGAAGCTGCAGCGAGAACCTCGAGGGCGCCTCGCCACTTCTTGGAAAGGAAAACGCCGAGGGGAGCGAGCGAGAGCAGGTCGGGTCCTCGGCGAGAGCGCGGCGTCGAGGGCGAGCGGACCAGCAGCAAGGGAGAAGTGACCCGCTCTGCGCCTCCGAGCGGCTTTTTTGGCGCAGCGCACGGCGGGAGCGCACAAGCGCCCACCTCCTCTCGTCAGCGGACTATCGGTTCGGCCTCACGGCATGGCTCGCGGGGCGGGGCCCACGGGCATCAACTCCCCTCCCCTCCTGGAATGCGCTGCGAACTGGGCAAGGCGAAACCGCGGGCTCCCGCCTTCCTAATTGCGCCTGGCCGCTTTTTCCGGCTGTTTGAGAGTTTCCATTGGTTTTCTTGCTAAACTTTTACGCACTTGGAAGCGCCTTAGGAACGCTTTTGTGAGAGGCGGGATATAAATGGTTGGCTCAGAAAAGAGATGTACTGTAGATCAAAATGTGCACCAGAAAAAAATGCTTGATAGTGCACCTGCTTATAGCAGCTAGAACGACCACGGCACAGTTGGGAAAAACGAAGTGATAAGCTGAAAGGCTTTAGGGACCAAAGACAAAAGGACGATTTCTGACTTTGTTTCATGTGTAAGCAAGGAGGAACATAGCCGAGGACTCCCCCCAACCAACCCCCCCTCCCGCTTCGACCGACGAATGAATATGGCTAATGCAGTGACTCAGGGCACTTGAATACTTCCATTACTTTCCTTTGATATAATACGGTCCATGTTTTGTAACCTTGTCTTGTTTAACCATTATGCCTATGCTACGGTCAGATACTTCCAGACACCACCTACCAGGCATTCACACACCTGTGGTTTATTTATTTCAGTTTTATGTCCGTTTTTGTTCTACAGTTACCTACAATTGTATATGGACTATGTATATTGTCATCGGATCCTGTCTGATAACACTAGAATTTTGTACAACCTTTGTTTTGGTGAAAATTAATAACAATATTTTAAAGCTTTATGTTTACTCGCTTGTTTACTCTTAGGAGTGCCTTGCACGGGAGTGGAGGAAATACATTTTCATCCCTGCTGGGGCATAGGCAATCCATTGCCTCTCTACCCGGAAGCAGGCAGTGGTGTTGCCTGGGCAGGAGGGCAGGGCAGCTGCAGGGGCCCCCAGCTGCCCCATGTTGTTGTTTAGTCGTTTAGTCGTGTCCGACTCTTTGTGACCCCATGGACCAGAGCACACCAGGCACTCCTGTCTTCCACTGCCTCCCACAGTTTGGTCAAACTCATGCTGGTAGCTTCGAGAACACTGTCCAACCATCTCATCCTCTGTCAGCCCCTTCTCCTTGTGCCCTCCATCTTTCCCAACATCAGGGTCTTTTCCAGGGAGTCTTCTCTTCTCATGAGGTGACCAAAGTATTGGAGCCTCAGCTTCAGGATCTGTCCTTCCAGTGAGCACTCAGGGCTGATTTCCTTAAGAATGGATAGGTTTGTTCTTTTTGCAGTCCATGGGACTCTCAAGAGTCTCCTCCAGCACCATAATTCAAAAGCATCAATTCTTTGGCAATCAGCCTTCTTTATGGTCCAGCTCTCACTTCCATACATCACTACTGAGAAAACCATAGCTTTTACTATACGGACCTTTGTTGGCAAGGTGATGTCTCTACTTTTTAAGATGCTGCCCCATACAGGGATCCAAACTGCAACCCTGGCATCATTAGTACCATGCTCTAATCAACAGAGCTATCCAGGCTCACTAAGTTCATTACCATCTCAATACATTTTCCCCCCATATAACCATTAAGTCCATATTCAAAAAATGATCTAACTCGACCACTGGAAGTAAGTCCATTGAGCTGGATGGGAGTTATTCCCTGGTAAGCACATACAGAATTGCCACTTAGGGGTGATCTTATATGGACGGGGTTTCACAGGGAACATAGGAAGAAGCTGCCTTAAAAAGTAGGTTTTCCCAAGGAAAGCAGTGGGGCAAATGAAAAACCTCTCAGACCCATATCTAGAAAGCCCATGACAAATGGAAGAAAACAAGGGACAAGTGTAGTTGAGCCCTTACTCTCACTGCAGCCTAGAATAGGTTTAGGATTGCAGCCTGATTTAAATAAACTGTAATATACAATACACAATACTGTAAAAAGCAGAAACATACGACTCTCATAAAACATCTAGCTGTATTAACAACAGCAAGTTCTGCATTATTTGAAGGAAGAGCAACATTTTCCTCTCCCCCCCCCAAATATTTTGGATTGAATCCTAGGAAAATGTAATGTCCCAATTTTTTGAAGATCATGCGTTCTTCGTGTAAATGCTTTTAATAGTCTCAACATCTGTTTTTGGAATTCAAAATATTATTTTTAGAATCATGGCTAACACGAAGCATGGCTCAGATGCTGAATCCAAATCTTTGTTTAATGTGTGGGTGGGGTGGGGGTCAAACATGTGTAGAGTAGAATCGAAAATTGCAATGCAGGAATATCAACTAAAGCATCCATGACAGATGGCTATCCAACCTCTGCTTAAAAACCTCCAAGGAAGGAGAGTCCATCATTTCCCGAGGGAGTCCGTTCCACTGTCAGACAGTTCTTACTTTCAGAAAGTTCTTCCTGATGTTTTATCAGAATCTCCTTTCTTGTATTTTCAATCAATTGGTTCAAGTCCTACCCTTCAGAGCAGGAGAAAACAAGCTTGTTCCATCATGTGGCACTGGAAGATGGCTATCATTTCTCCTCCTTTTTTTCTCTTCAGTCTCCTTTTTTCCAGGCTAAACATCCCCAACTCCCTCAACCATTTCTGACAAGGCTTGGTTTCCAGACCCTTTAGCATAAGCCCCTTAGCACAATGATAGCTCACATGCTGGGACTCCCATCATGCCAAATCATTGGCCATGCTGGCTGAGGTTGATGAGTTTTGGAGTCCAACATTACCTAGAAAGCATCACTTTGGCTGTGCTACCTCTGCCTTAGCAGATTACTAGTCTTTATCAACATCAGGAGTCCTGAACATCTCATGGGGGCAGAAGTAAATGCAAGGTCCCCTATTTCTTCTTGATCCTCCTCACCTCCTCAAGCTTTTTCAGCAGGATGCTTTATGTGTTCATTTTACATATTTATGGGATCCTTAAATTAATATAGTTATAATGATCAACTTTGTGATTCAGACCATCAAAACTGACAATGTGGGCCGTACATCTGGAGATTCCATGTGTACAAGACCTGTAGACTGAAAATATGTTCTTTGTTCCAGTTGTACACTTTGGGATTTTGGTGGTAGTGAAGGGTGGCGTTAGAAAACCCAGCAAGATCGAACTAGATAAAAACATGCACTTAAACTCCTCTATTTCCTAGTTGCAAGGTCAGGTCCCTGGAGGGCATCATGTGTTTGAAAGACCACCTGTCTTCTTTTGCTTTCCCCATCTGCATCCAGGCAACTCAAGAACAACCTGCCAAGTTCCCAAACAAGGAACATGATAAATGTGGCAATTGGATTAAATATAGGGAGGACCGGAGGAATAATCAATTTCTGGAGCCTGTTCACCCAACACTCTGGTAAACAGAAATGATAGAAAAATATTCAGTTAGATGATGTGGGTATTAGCTCTTTCCAGGGAATACAAATGTCCACAGTATTTGTTCTAAAACACTCTTGTTAAGAATCTGAAGGCATGCGACTCAAATTGTGTGCATCCCAGTCAGTTACTAACGGCACCAGGTCTTTCTAGATACACATGAACATCAGTTTTGCCAATATAAATGCGTCACAATGCTGAGGATTCAGAATCTGGGTCTTCCAAAATGTTAGTCACAATCCAAAAATACTGCTAAATGTTGACCTTGAGGAATACAAGAGGAATACAGAAGCAGCTGCAGTTGAAAGTGTTTGCACAAGCAATGCAAATCTTTAACAATGGAGCTGTATTGACAGCCACACCAAGTGGGGTTTATGGGTTTAATGACCAACTTGACCTTTTCTGGTTATATGCCACTTGGTTGAAATCACACTGCATGTACACCAAGATTTTAGAATAAATTTTCTGAGCATATGCAGGACACAGTTCTGGTTTTGGAATGGGAAGGTTTTCTGAATGTTGCTGTGTGCCTATTAAGGACATAGTTCTCCATTTGACTGTTTGAACAGCCACAGCTCAGTATACATAATGCACATCATCAGTCTCTGGCATCTCAAGGCAGGGCTAGGAAGGAACTCTGCTTTCAGAAACCCACCTTAGATTCAGAAAATCTAAGTAATTACCAGCCAGTTGTCAAACTCCCCGAATAATATCCAAGTGCTCTTGGTGGAAACTGATTTTCTAGATCAGTTTCAATCAATGTTTAGGCCCGGTTTTGGCACAGAATCTGCTTTGGTTCCTGTTTAAGACGACCCCGTGGTCTTCCAGAAGTTGTTGGACTCCAACTCACATCATGCTTTGGCATTGGCCATGCTGGCCGGCATATTTTCCCAAGCATGCATGTAACCATCTGGTACCCTGGTCATCTCTATGGTCCTTTCAAATGGTGAACAGCATTTTATGACCCACTGCATCCAGGCAGAAATGCAGGGAAGAAGTGGAATGGGTGGCTGGCTGGTTTTCTATGAACCAAAGAGAAATGGAGTCTTTCCCCTGCCCTAGGAGGAGCAATAAAGGTTTGAGCAGGAACATTAAGTCAGTTCTTGAATAAAATTCATTAACACAACCTAGACAATTACATTTTGATCCCTCTTCCAGAAGCTATAGAAGATAAACAATAATGCAGGCTCTGCTGGATACAATGGATATGTGTTTGTGTTTGTCTAAGGTAGGTGCTGTGGTCTAAACCACAGAGCCTAGGGCTTGCCAATCAGCAGGTTGGTGGTTCGAATCCATGCAACAGGGTGAGCTCCCTTTGCTCGGTCCCTGCTCCTGCCAACCTAGCAGTTCGAAAGCATGCCAGTACAAGTAGATAAATAGGTACCGCTCCGGTGGAAAGGAAAACAGCATTTCCGTGTGCTGCTCTGCTTCGCCAGAAGCAGCTTAGTCATGCTGGCCACATGACCCGGAAGCTGTACGCCGGCTCCCTCGGCCAGTAAAGCGAGATGAGCGTCGCAACCCCAGAGTCGTCTGTGACTGGACCTAGTGGTCAGGGGTCCCTTTACCTTTACCTAAAGTTGGCTCTGGAGAGTCTGAAAATTGGCACTGACTCAGTCTCGAATAGCTCCTTAAGAGTACATCTGAGCTTCGACTTGAGCAGCCTTGAAGCTGCTCTTGATCCACGCGAGTGTCTGAAGCAATCACTGGTCAACTGTAGAATGGGGAGAAATAATTAGAACAGCATAGCAATGTGAATTTGGCACACACACCTATTCTGTATTAAGGTAACCCAGATTTTGTCCAGCTGAATTCTATGGCCTGCATACACCAAAAGGGCACCCTTGTTTATTTTGCACAGTACCTTGGTTCTCAAACTTAATCCGTTCTGTGAGTCTGTTCAACTCCCAAAACCATTGCAAAACAAAGGCACGGCTTCTGATTGGCTGCAGGAGCTTCCTGCGCTCAAGAGGAAGCTGCATCGGACATTTGGCTTTAGAAAAACATTCACAAACCAGAATACTTCTGTGTTTGCGGCGTTCAGGAGCCAAGACGTTTGAGTACCAAGGTACCACTGTATATTAATTTAGCTGTCATGGGAGAGGCACTCTGGTCCAGTTCTGTTACTATTGGCAATCTGGCACCTCAACTCTCCACCTTGGCTTCTGAAGTGGTCGGTGTTTGGCACAGATTATGAAACCAATCATTGCAGGCATAGCAGAAAGACCTTTTGTTTTTTACTGTTATTATTAAATGAAAATTGAGATTCTGTTCAGCTCTCTGCATGATGCCAAATTTCAATTTCACATGGTGCATTATGAACCTAAGAAGAGCCCTGCTGCACAACATTAGCAGTAAATATAGTTTAAAAGCTATCCAAATCAGTCTAATCAGCACAGTATCAACTAGATTTTGGGAGTAGCCCAGGGTCGGCTCTGCCCAGGTCAACATTCAAAGAAGAATCACAATCACAATGCTTTCTTGAAGAAACTCCAACCAGAAAAAGCAGCAATAACCAACAGTAAAATCAATCCTAAGATATATTCAGGGAGCAGAGCAATTTGTACTAGAAAGCATAATTCATTCTCTCTCTCTCTCTCTCTCTCTCTCTCTCTCTCTCATCTTTTGTTTTGAAATAATAAGGGGGGAAAAACAGGGCAGTGTTTTCTGAGGGCAAGGGTAGTGGTGTTCTCCACCTGCCTTGTTCTGTAATTTAGTCTGGGAAAAGGAAAAGGAATAGATCAAACACAGAGCACATTCCAGGTCATGCAGTGACATCTAGTGTGTGTTAGGCACAACAGTCACTAGGCAATTTTTCCAGCTGAATTTACAGACAGTGGCTTTTGAAAGTATAAAAAGTGCTCAAGAAATGTAGATTCAGTGTGTCTCCTTGTTACTTAGGAAATAAGAACTGTTGCAAAAAAATTAGTAATTCATCTTGTGTCTGCATCCATTAAAAAAAAAAAATCTGTCTTTGAGTCTCTCTGTGTTTTCTCCACTTCAGTGTGTAATTCAGGTTCCAAGCTGCTCTGCATAAATTGAAGCTCTGTGTTTCCCCCCATTCACTATAAAGGGGAACCTAAAAAATGGTTATATCATTTTCCCTCTTTGACCAAAATGGATAAAATTTAAAGATATGGGAGCCATTCCAGAATAGATTAAGCCTGCCAACT